ATATAGAGACAAGAAATAAGAACGGGGCAACGCGTGAATGTAATGGTGGAGATGAGGTGAATAAAATAGGTGAGAGGAAGCGATGGAGAGGGCGAATATGTGATGCTCGAATTTGGTGAAAGCGAAATTGATGAGAGTGAACGATGATGAATGGAATGAATGTGTGAATGTGTGAATGAGTGATAGCCGTGTAATGAGAATATGAAGAGGGAACAGGAACGGCGGTGGTGGTTATGAGTGGGAGATTAGGGGGCTCGTGGTGTAGGCTGAAGGTAACGATTAGTGAGTTGAGTGAGGATCGGAAACCTGTGAGCGACGGTGACTGCTGAATGTGGAGGGGGAAGTTTGTTCCAGTGAAGGTGGTGGGCGAGGAGAGAGAGAGAGCGACAGCGTGGCTTGAGCGCAAGGAGGAGGAACACAGCGAGAGAGAGGGCAAATATTCAGAACATAAAGGGCCAGAAGGTGCACGGAACGAATTAATGAACTAATCCGCGACGTGAATGAATTAATAATAATAAAAGTCCCATAATAGGGCGCCCATTGACGTTGATTGGCTTCCCTGCGTATGAACATGATGCGTCGTTGCTTGTCCTCATGCATCATTCGTCGTGTCGCGGATTCACGAGATGCCGGTACAAGCGCGCGCCACCGCTCGGCCACGTGACCGCCGCGGCTCAGGGTTAGAGGTCACCGCCGTGAGAGCTCTCCACGAGAACTTTCTCCTCCTTCCGAGCGAATGCGACGCTTGTGGGCGTTACACACGGAAAGGAAAAAGGTTGAGTCCTCTGCGCCCGAAGGAGCCACGCGCGACCCTCGCTCGACAGTGGGGGGCAGCGGTGGGGGCAGCGGTGGGGGAGGCAGTTTTGTTTACGGTTCTGTGCCGGGCGATGTTTGAGATGCACGGCGCAGAACGGAGCGCTTTTGTGCGGGTTGTTTCAAAGCGGAGCTGACGAAAGGCGCTCTTTGTGGCCGCACTTGCCCGGGGTGTCGGGACGGTGGCTCGTGCAGGAGTCTGAGAGAACAACGGAGGCAGAGCGATAATCAATCCGTCAGTCGATCCAGTTAAGCCCTCCGCCAAAACCAGGTGAATGCCCATTGAGAGCGCGAGGTTTTCAAGGGAGGCACGGGGTCAAACAAAAAAAATACGATAAATATATACACACACAACAGCGACTATGAAACGCGCAATGTAAATAATGTAAATAATAATGATGATGTTAACATTCATGACTGTACATCAGAGGATCGCGAGAGATGGCACCAGCTTGCAGAGGCCTTCATCCAGCAGTGGAGTGACCATGGCTGAGGATAATTGTGAAAATGCATTACAAAAATAATGGATTAATCCTGACCACAAAGACAGAAATATTGATAGGAAGTTAATAAAAAACGAGTTTAAAGTCTGAATAGTGTTTAGCATGGAAATAATTATACATTACTATGCAGGAATATTGCTCATTGGGGTAAATATTTGACAAAATATGACTAGATAATGTATTACTTTGCTGAAAGCTGACATATACAGGGTGTTTCAAATGGATGGACCCGATTTGAAATCGCTATTTCTTGGGTCCATCTTTTTCAAACACCCTGTATACTTAAATGGGCAAATGGTAGTCATGTAAATAAGGGTGTAATCCTCGTTCTGTGCACAAACATGTTTTGGTTTTACGCAGGAATGTCTCAATAAGTCTCAAGGCTTATTGTCAGCAGGGCCCTTGCTTGGAATGTTGGGCAAAGCGCTTTGTGAGCATGGGAAAAAAAACGTGTCTGGAGGACACCCAGGTACAGCGGAGGAGAATTCAAATTCCATATAGACCAGCAAAACATTTGCTGTACTGCACAGTGAAGACGTCACTTCATCAACCCACACACAGAGAAAAGGAAAACGTATTCTGTTAAGTAACACGGGGAACAAAACAAGTATTCTCCAGTAGTGGCTGACATCAAGGCAAGGCTGGGAACGGCTGTGGGCGCCTTCTGTCAACTGCGAACCATTTAGAAGTCCAAACAGTCCAATCTGAAATCCAAAGTCCAAATATGCAACATGAACATCAAGTGCATTCTGCCCTACGGCCCTGAATGCTGGAGGATCGTGAAAGCAGACAGAGATGACCAAAAAAGGTTGAGGCCTTCCACAATGGATGCCTCAGAAATATCTGTGCCGTATATTTTGGCCAAACAAAACATGTCCAGTCACGAATTGTACTCGAGCACCCGAAACCCATCACAAGGGAGACAAAACAACTGAGACTGCGATGGCTGGGGGGAGGGAGGGGGGCCACGTCCTACGAATGGAACAGAAGCGCATCCCTAAAATTGCCCTGAGATGGACGCCCCCAGGCAAAATAAAAACCTGGAGGCCAAAGACCACGTGGCGAAGAACCGTCAACGACGATGTTGGTCAGGTGAAGCTCCCATGGGGAGAGGCACCGCATGCAGCCAAGGACACGAAACGTATGGAGAGAGCTGATTGTTGCCTTATGCCCCAGAGGGGATGAACAGGAGTAAGTAAGTGGCTCAGCCAAGGCCTCATTGGCTGCCCGTTGCAGCCATGGGACCCACAGGGAGCCCAATGGGTGAATGCGTAAAAGCCTAAACCGTAACCGCTGCATTCACTTGGGGTGTCGACTAAAGCGGGGGCGGCGGCGGCGGCTCGAGCACACATGGCGACGCACGGCGCAAGCGCGGCCACTGGGACCCCTGGGAGTCGCTCTCGCCCGGCTCCCTTCTCACTTCGTGCATCGCCCCGCGAGCTCCGTTTCGCGGGATTGAGTTGATGGGGAATGACTCCATGGGGGGGGGGGGGGGGGGGATGAGCCGATAGAAAGAGCGCCGATTGCTCCATCGCAGTCTGCGGCGCGCGGCGCCTTCGAGGGCCGCGTTGTATCCGCGCTACGTCAAGCCGCTTCACCGATCAACGTTTCATCCCCCCCCCCTCCTCCTGCTTTCCGCGGGAGATGACGGGCGCACGGCCCAGCAGCAGCAGCAGCCGGGGTCCGTGTTGCCACGAAACCGCTGGCTGCCGTGGCCTTGAATGGAAGGAATTTGCCGGGACACGCTCCCGGCTTGTTTTACAAGCCCCGCTCTCCGCGCTTCGCCTTTGCTCCGCGTGTCTGGGGAGGGCCGTAAATCCGTAAATCCCGCGGCCCGCGTGGGTCACGTGGGCCTTTTCACTTGGCCAGCGCACGGCCCTCCTTGTCTGACTGCCTTCAATCTTACTCCGCCTCCTCCACCCGCCCGCCCGCCGTATCTGTCTGCCTCTGTCGTCTTCTGTCCAGCTTTTATGTCTGTTCTGTTGGGTGTTTTTGTACTTCCATTCGTCTATTCCGTCTGGACATCTGTCTGTCTTGTCCTGCATGTGTGTATATCTCGATTGTCCTGCTCTGTTTGTCTGCCACTAGTGCCCTGTCGATGTTTCACCTCTTCCTCACGCGTCGGTCCGTCTCTGTCCGTCTTTCATTACTACTCGCAACTTCCGTTATCGTTGCAAGCGACAATCAGCGCGCGTCTCTGTGGAAACTATCAGCAACAATACAAATAAGCGGACGCAATGCCAACTTCCCGTGGTCGTCTCTCCACACGAAACAAAAGTTATTTGTTACGCAACCCATTGGCTGCACAGGCCTCTGGGGGAGGGAGTCCATCTCTTCATCAACTTTGGCTCGATACAAGCAAGCTCTGGACCGATTTTGACATTCAGTGTCGCATCAACAGTCACATTTTGCTTCAACCAATGCTCGCGAACTGCCCGACATTTGAAGGCCATTAATACTAGTGACAACGATGATCCCTTTTCTGCAACGCCACTCCAGAAACAAAAAAACTCAATCAAAACCCGCAAAGCTCAACGTTCAAAATCTCAATCACCACAACCACAGCGGCCACAACCGTCACCGCTCCAACCACTGCCCTCCCTCCCTCCCCTCCCTCCCTCCCCCCCTCCCTCCCCTTCCTCCCTCCCCCCCTCTTCTCCCCCCTCCCTTCCCTCCCCCCCTCCCTACCTCCCTCCCCTCCCTCCCCTCCCCTCCCTCACTTCCTCCCCCCTCCCTACCTCCCTTCTTCCCCTCCCTCTCCTCCCCTCCCTCCCTCGCTCCCCTCCCTCCCTCTCTTTTTTTACGATCAGAGGAAACAGGAAGATGCTCGGTGTAGTCGACACTTTGCTTCGTTCATCATTTCGGTTTTTTGTTTTTTATGCTTTGCTTTATGTAACCCCCCCCCCCCCTTTCCCTCTCTCTATACCCCCCTCTCTGCCCCCCTCTCTCTCTCTACCCCCTCTTCCTACCCATGTCGCTCTCTCTCTCGCTCTCTTTTCAATAACTACGACAAGTGCTGCATCTGCACGTAGTCCTCCTCACAGTCAAACGGCCTCCGACGGGTAGCTCAGATCTGCACGCAGAGCTCTCTACCGTCATCTGCCACCGAGCACACGGCCTCCTCCAGCGCCCACTGCTCCTTGAAGGCCGGCACGGCGTGGGTCAGCCGCGCGTGGCGGAACTCCAGCCCACACACCCTGGATCCCTCTCCTCCCTCCCTCTCCTCCCTTCCAAGCGTTCCACCGAGTCACCCAAAACACCATTTTCATGGTAAAGAGAGCTCGCGCTAAGCCGCTGATGGACGGATCACCGCTTAATTCAGCCACCGAAGACTCTTTCACTTCATTGTCCCTTGATTTCTCGCCCGGGTTTATGTTTTGTGTTCCACCTCCCTCCCCCCTCCCTTGAAACTTTTTTTTATTTTCTCTGTCCCCCCCAACCCCCACCCCCATCCTCGTAAGCCGGGCGACGCGAGAGGAGACGAGAGAGCGGCGCGTGTGGTGGTGGTGGTGGTGTTGGTGGTGTTGGTGGTGGTGTTGATGGTGGTGTTGGTGTTGGCGGTGGTGGTGTTGGTGGTGTTGGTGGTGTTGATGGTGGTGTTGGTGGTGGTGTTGGCGGTGGTGGTGTTGGTGGTGTTGGTGGTGGTGTTGGTGGTGTTGGTGGTGGTGTTGGTGGTGTTGGTGGTGGTGTTGGTGGTGGTGGTGTTGGTGGTGTTGGTGGTGGTGTTGGCGGTGGTGGTGTTGGTGGTGTTGGTGGTGTTGATGGTGGTGTTGGTGGTGGTGTTGGCGGTGGTGGTGTTGGTGGTGTTGGTGGTGGTGTTGGTGGTGTTGGTGGTGGTGTTGGTGGTGGTGGTGGTGGCGGTGTTGGTGTTGGTGGTGTTGGTGGCAATGTTGGTGGTGGTGGTGTTGGTGGTGGTGTTGGTGGCGGTGGTGGCGGTGGTGTTGGTGGTGTTGGTGGTGGTATTGGTGGTGGTATTGGTGGTGTTGGTGGTGTTGGTGGTGGTGGTGTTGGTGGTGGTGGTGGCGGTGGTGTTGGTGGTGTTGGTGGCGGTGGTGGTGGTGTTGGTGGTGGTGTTGGCGGTGGTGTTGGTGGTGGTGGCGGTGGTGTTGGTGGTGGCGGTGGTGGTGTTGGCGGTGGTGTTGGCGGTGGTGGTGTTGGTGGTGTTGGTGGTGGTGTTGGTGGTGTTGGTGGTGGTGTTGGTGTTGGTGGTGGCGGTGGTGGTGTTGGTGGTGGTGTTGGTGGCAATGTTGGTGGTGTTGGTGGCGGTGGTGGTGGTGGCGGTGGTGTTGGTGGTGGTGTTGGTGGCGGTGGTGGCGGTGGTGGTGGTGTTGGTGGTGTTGGTGGCGGTGGTGGTGTTGGTGTTGGTGGTGGCGGTGTTGGAGGTGTTGGTGGTGGTGTTTGTGTTGGTGGTGGCGTTGTTGGTGGTGGCGGTGTTGGTGGTGTTGGAGGTGGTGGTGTTGGTGGTGTTGGTGGTGGCGGTGGTGGTGATGTTGGTGGTGTTGGTAGTGGTGGTGTTGGTGGTGGTGGCAGTGTTGGTGGTGGTGGTGTTGGTGGTGGTGGTGTTGGTGGTGTTGGTGTTGGTGGTGTTGGTGGTGGTGGTGTTGGTGGTGGTGGCGGTGGTTTTGGTGGTGTTGGTGGTGGTGGTGTTGGTGGTGGTGGTGTTGGTGGCGGTGGTGTTGGTGGTGTTCGTGGTGGTGTTGGTGGTGTTGGTGGCGGTGGTGGTGTTGGTGGTGGCGGTGTTGGTTGTGATGGTGTTGGTGTTGGTGGTAGCGGTGTTGGTGGTGGTGGTGTTGGTGGTGTTGGTGGTGGCGGTGTTGGTGGTGGCGGTGTTGGTGGTGTTGGAGGTGGTGGTGTTGGTGGTGGTGGTGTTGGTGGTGGCGGTGGTGTTGGTGGTGGTGTTGGTGGTGGTGGTGTTGGTGGTGTTGGTGGTGGTGTTGGTGGTGGTGTTGGTGGTGTTTGTGGTGGTGGTGGTGTTGGTGGTGGTGGTGGCGGTGGTGTTGTTGGTGGTGGTAATGGTGGCGGTGGTGTTGGTGGTGGTGGTGGTGGTGTTGGTGGTGGCGGTGTTGGTGGTGGTGGCGTTGGTGGTGGCGGTGTTGGTAGTGGTGTTGGTGGTGTTGGTGGTGGTGGCGGTGTTGGTGGTCTTGGTGGTGTTGTTGGTGGTGTTGGAGGTGGTGGTGTTGGTGGTGGTGTTGGTGGTGGCGGTGGTGGTGGTGGCTGTGGTGGTGATGGCGGTGATGGTGGTGTTGGTGGTGGTGTTGGTGGTGTTGGCGGTGTTGGTGGCGGTGGTGGTGACGATGTTGGTGTTGTTGGTGGTGGTGGCGGTGTTGGTGTTGGTGGTGGCGGTGGTGGTGGATCGCCCCCATGCTATCGCCATTCCGCCATCTCCATAGAAGCCACTCTCGGCTGTGATCTCTCCTTTAGCTGCCGTTCCATCACTCGTCTCGTCCAATAAACACTCATCCCTTCTCGTGTGGCCCCGACCCAAGCCCGCCTACTTTCCTACACAAAGCAACGCGATGTCTCTGCTTTGTATTTTCACCCAGATCCGCGTGCTCCGCTTCATTTCTCTTCCCTTCTTGCGGCTGTCATTCCTTGCCCGGTCGCATCCGTCGGCCCTCCACCGTGACCGGGACGCGTCCTGCCCCGACCCACTCACGTGTCTCAGTCAACGAACGAAGTTTCAGATTCCTGTCTTTGTTTCCATAATCCACAACTGTTTACAAATGTGCGTGTGTCCCATAATGACACAGTGGATTTAAATAAAATATTAAGAAACATATTGCATAGCGCACATCCATTGTATATATATAAACACAAATTAGCCTGTACTCTTTGGTTCTATTCGGTAAAGTCACAAAACAACAAAAACCACGACGTTTCGGCCACAACACAAGTGGCCTTCATCAGGTGAAGGGACCAAACTGTCCAGAGGACAGCGTTGGAGTGAAGAAAGTCAAGCGCAGGTCGCCTCCTTTAAGCTGTGAGGGGGTAAACAGAAAAAAACGCCTTGACAAAGGAATTAGCATAAAATGTAAAGCTGTGCAAGCTTGGAGTTAGCATAAAAAGACATTAGCACCACCGTGAGAGTTTGGGATGCCACTAATTGAATAAACATACTGTACCATTAAAACTTACTTTAACGTTTGGTTCGATTTAGAACATTTTTCCAATAGTTGCCTAATTTGAAACCATCTTCTCGGTTGAAATTGTGTCTGTTTTTGTAAATCTGAATTGCCTCGTGAACAAATCTCTGATAGAAACCCGTGGGTTTGCAAATAACTTTGGTATCGGATAAAATTATATCGTGATCACCCACAGCATTGTAATAGTGATCAGCTACGGCAGAAGAATTCGTTCTGCCGTGTTTCAAATCTGAATTGTGCTCGCGAATTCGGTCAGAGACATGTCGTTTCGTCTCCCCGATATAGCAGTCACCACAGGTGCAGATCAATTTGTAAACTCCGGGGTACTGTAAGTCAGGAATGCCATCCTTCACGGAAGGGATCAGATCACGGATTTTGTGTACTGTATTGAACCGGACCAGGATCTTGTGTTTGTTTATAATTTTGGAGATCTTTTTAGTTACGCCTGCTATATATGGTAGTGTGATGGTTTTGATCGGAGTATCAAGTGGTTGTTTCTGTATGGAGGGAGAAACAGCTTGGCGGATGGTACGGTCAGAGTATCCATTCCTTTTGAGGGTCAGATGTACATGTTTTAATTAACTGGTCAAGTAGTGTTGGTCCGAAATGCAATGAGCCCTGTGGTATAACGTTTGATGAGATAATTCTTTTGCGTCGGGTGGTGGTGGGAATCAAGTTTCAAGTAGGAATCTGTGTGGGTGGGTTTCCTGTAGACAATGTCCCAATGAGCCATCAGGTCTCCTCTCAAATAGAACATCCAAGAATGGCAGCTTGCCATCTTTCTCAACTTCCATGGTGAATTTGATGGCGGGGTGTCTGGAATTAATGTAGTCTAGGAAAAGGTTCAAAGCTGGGAGGCCATGTGGCCAAATGACGAAAGTGTCGTCTACATATCTCTTTCACAGGGAAGGTCTGAGGGTGGAAGTCTGGATGGCGTCTGATTCAAATTTCTCCATGAAAATATTGGCTATCACTGTATGGATTTGACCACCGGTGTCAGAATAACAGGCACAGATAAAGCGTTGGGTTCGCTGTGATTCTGCGATTCCCACTGTGGTCCATTGCTTTGGAGACAGGGGCTAGGTGCTACAAAGCAGAATTTTCCAACTCCCAAATCCTGCAGGGCGGCCGCAACGAATTCCGGCAGACGGCAGCACACACACACACAGAGAGTGGTGGTGGTGGTGGTCTGTGAGCACGCCTGTTGCGAACCTTCACGCGAGACGCCCTCCTGCGGGTCGCACTCCGCGCCCAGCGCGAGTGAAGCCCAAACCTCTCGTCGATGGCATTTGACCAAATAAGGCCACATGGCGGGAGGCTCCTGAGAAAAGCGACCCGGGAATCATAGGCGCTGCTGGGCCGACTGCTGTTAAGTGAACACCGCTTCAGCGCGGTACAGCAACACTCACCGTGCAGCGCCTAGGCGGAATGTGGGGCGCAAACCATAGTAACTAATAAAGGCAAAGATCCCCCGTGTAGCCTTAACAGACTGTTGGGGCAAGTGCTGTTTGTGAGCACCTATGAAGGCCCGCACGGCACACAAGGGGGTGGGTGGCCAGCACCACGTCCGGCCGCCTTTGTCTCCCCAGTGGCGATGACTTTATACACCGCACCAGGTGCTCGTTTTAGGCTGAGTCGATCTAGGGGAGGCCCAGGAGGTGTTGGCCTTGAGCGGGAAATGAACTCGAGTCGCTGGGTTCGTAGCGTAGCGCGCTATCCGCTACACTACTGCTCCCCACCTAATAACTAAATACAATAACTAAATAATAACTAACTACTTATCGAAACGCATATTTATCATTCACTCCCAATATCTCATGGGCTGATGGACTTAACCGTTTTTTGTGGCTGATGCGGCTGATGCGGCTGATGGGAGCGGTGGTGGTGGTGGCTAGGCACGTGGCATGTACTCCAGCACTGTGGAGCCAGCAGCGAGGGTTGGTGGATAACTCCATTCCCATTGGCGTCGATGTGTGCCATACCTTGTCTCGCCAGGAGATGGCGGTACAGACAACACATGGAACTCCACTCGCCCCGTCTGTTCTGGGAGAGAGCGTTCCCCCCTCGCATCCGTGGGCTGTCTCCGGGTTCCCCGGTTTCGTCTCGCATGTAAACACTCACTAACTGGCCGACGACGCCTTCACATATGTATGACCACGTAGCTTGAGGATCGCAGAGCTTGGGCAATGGTTGGCGTGGGCTCATTGAGTGGCTGCTGCTGCTGCTGCCTTCCCGCTACTCGTCTGTGGTTCCACCTCCTCCTCCTCCTCCAGGTGCGCCCCTCGGGTCGTTCCCTCTCGCGACGAGAGCGGGGAGCGAACACTGCCGCGGCGTTGCAGGTTGACACGGCGACGACACGTGTGTTTGTTCGTTGATGATGCGATGGCTCCGTCTCTGCTGGCTTGCCAAGGCTGCCGGAGACACGGCCTGGCGATCGGCGGCGCTGCCGAGTTGACGGGCGGGAGCTGCGGCAACCCTCGTCACCGCTCGGAGCGAACGAGGTGGAGAGCGGCAGGCCAAGTCTGCGCGCCTCTCCCCTCCCGCGACGATCATTAAGGCTCACCAAAAAAAAATAAGTCTGCCCTAGTAAGGTGCCATCTGTCAGCCGCACAGCTTATCCCGGGCAACCAGCGCGCGCGTCTCTCCGCTCCCCCCCCCCGCCCACAACCGCCAGATCCTAAATCCCATTTCACCGCCCATTAAGGACTTAATTCCTCGGCAATTAACATGCCACTTAGCTCATTAAGGTCAGCTGGCTTAGGACAAAGCGGTGGAGGCAACTCGCGCCTGCGCGGTCACAGCAGGCGCAGGCGCCGCGAGATGGGCACGAGATGGCACGAGAGGGCACGAGAGGGCACGAGAGGGCCACTTCACCGGCGCGGGGAAGTGGCACCCACACCACCAGGGCGTCCCATACCAACCGGGGGCTTCCCCCACACCACCACCACCCCCACACCACCACCACCCCCACACCACCACCCCCACACCACCACCCCCACACCACCACCACCACCACCACACCACCACCCCCACACCACCACCCCCCACACCACCACCACACCACCCCCACGCCACCACCCTGACACCACCAACCACCCACCGACCACTACACCACCACCCTCCCACCACCACACTACCAACCCCTACATCACCACCACCACCACACCACCCCCACCACCACACCACCACCACACCACCACCCTCCCACCACCACACCCCTACACCACACCACACCGCCACACCACCACCACCACCACACCACCACCACACCACCCACACACCACCATCACCATCACCACACCACAACCACACCACCCCCACACCACAACCACACCACCCCACCACCACCATCACACCACCACACCACAACCACACCACAACCACACCACCCCCACACCACCCCCACACCACCACACCACCACCCTCCCACCCGGTGTTTGACAATCCCTATCAACGCACCATCTCATCCCAACACAAACAAATGTCTGTTTGTTTGTGGGTCCACGGACAATGCCATCTGATAGTCTTGTCTTCTCTGCTTCCTAGGCCCGGTAATTAAGACTTAAAGTTTGAGTCCAATTCAGGATTTGTTTGGCCCGTTCATTCTTTCGCGGTCCAATTTTGCGGCCTCTCTTCCACGTACATCTCCAACTGAATGTTCTCTTGTATGCCTCCTAATTAAGACGAAATCCTGTCGACCGCAAAAAAAACCTAATACTATTTCACACTCGGGACTTTTATTCCAGCAGGCAAGGCCCACCGAGCTGAGCAGCTGGCACCGCGCCGAGGATGACCACGGTCCAAAATCTGTGGGCAGTGATGGTGGTTACCGGACACCGTGGCGAGAGGCCGTCCAAGCTAAAGGGGCCAAACGCAGAACTCACGCCAGAAGTCACTGCGAACAGGATAAACGAAACATAAATAAACACTGCTTAAACACAAAGCAGAAAACAGTGCTAGAAAATCCTCTGAGATGTGTGTGTAGCTAAAGCGTGTAAATAAAGCGCATATAGCCTTAGACACAATGGAGTTTGTTGTCGCATTCAGAATCATAATATTTATTTATAGTGCCGGAGGAATCCGATGAGCCATGAAGCTCTTTTTTTCAAAGATGTCCAGTAGGGGCACGGGATAAGA